GCAAAAATGCACATTTTCAAAAAATTATGAAATTGTCAAGGTTTATGTAAAATAATATTTTAAGACTTTTATTGTACTGCAGTACTATTTTTTAACATTTTGATAATTTTATATTCAATAAAAACCCCGCAAATTTTAAAACCACCGATAAAAAATTTCCAAAAAATATTCAAAATATGTATAATCATAATCTCTACAATATATAAAACATTATACGATGAAAGTTTTATTGATGCAAAGTTATCCTCCAATTTTTGCTAATGGATATAAAATTTTGATCAAAATATTTGCTAAAACTTGCATATTTTTTAAAATTGAGATGGTCATAATGTGCGTTACCTTGTGATAAACAACTTTCCCAACTACGTCGACTAACGAAAATGGCTTGAAATCACCCAAAACCCGATTTTCCTCCTCTTTTCTCTCTTTCTCCCCTAAAAGCTTTAAGAAGCTCTCTATTTGGATATTTTGAGAAATGAAACACTTAATTACATTAATAAAGTATTATGACTTTTGATATTTTTATTTTTAATTATTAAGTAATATATAATAATATTATTATTAATTTATAATAAAAAAATTCAAAGAAATTTTTTAGGGATTCCAAAAATTATAAAAAAATATTCATAAATTAATAAATTTTATTTAAAATATTATGGAGAAATCATTTTTCAAAATGGACACCTAACGATCCCAAAACCCCACTTATACCCATAGGTGTCGATTTCTTAAGAAATTTTGACAGTGCCCAAAAATTATGAAAAAATTAGGAAAGCTAAAATATAATATTATAAATATTCTAGTGAAAACAATTTGTAATTTAGACTTTTTTAGTTCAACCAAAAAATCTTAAAAATTTAAAGGGTTTCATAATCTACTCACCTTAAGAAAAATATCATCATTGACATTCCCAAAGCAAAATGAGTTAGAATAAACCTGGATACAACTGCCTCATATCAGATTCCTTCTCCTAAGTAGTCTCTTTGGCGGTCATATACTTCCACTATGCCTTAACCATAGGAATCTATTTGCTTCTCAATTTTTTCACATCATATGCCAAAATCCTTGTAGGTTCTTTCATATACTATAAATTTGGATGAACCTCGACATCATCAGCAGATAATCTCTTTCCATATTTAGGCACCTACTTTCTTAAAGATGATACATGAAACATATTATGTATATTAGACATATGATCAAGTAACAATAATTTATAAGCAGAACTATCAATGATCTCAAAAGATCCAATATACCTTGTACTAAACTTGTTAATTTTCCCAAATATATTAACACCTTTCATAGGGCTAACTTTGACATAAACCAGGTCACCAATCTAAAACTCAACCAACATATGCTTCTGATTATAATATTTGTTATGTCTATCTTATGCAGATTTCAATCTTTCTCTAATCAAATTGATCTTTGTAGTAATATCATCCCCAAAGGCTGAACCTATCACATGTTTATCTCCCACCTCTATTAAAGTCAAAGGAAACCTATAATTCCTCTCGTACAAAGCTTCATAAGGAGCCATGCATATGTTGGTCTGATAATTATTATTATATGCAAACTTTATCAACGGGATATGATCCTCCCAATTGTCCCCAAAATTGAAAACACATAATCTCAAAAGATCCTCTAATACATGAATAGCCCTTTTAGACTGTCTATCTATCTACAGATGAAAAATCGTACTAAAGTGTAACTTCATACCCAGTCCCTGCTGAA